TATATTTCTCAGTATGGACACATCTTCGATGACAGCTTACTTTAAGAGAAAACCATACGATCTTCCACAATTTCGGGATCCACATATCTTTGAAATATGTGCATTTAATACCGCACCAAAGAGTCGTGCTGATGTCAGTAATGAGTCTTTCTAATTCGTCTGTAAAAGGGCTGAAATTCTCTAAAAAAAAAAAAAAAAAAAAAAAAAACAAAACAAAACAAAGTTTTTTTTTTCTTTCGTTACAAACAGGATAAACTCTCAACAATTAATTTTCTTAAAATCGTACTATCACTATCCACAAATCTTAGCCAGACAAACCGTATATGCTCTATTTTATTTTCACTTATTTCTAGACCGGTTCTCATTTTTCAGGTCATTATTACCGTTGGTCCTTAACAGAAATATATTGTCCAAGTTGTAACTTTATCTTCATCGCAGACACGCTTAAACGCATTTGATCTGATTGTGCAAAACGATAAAGTGTTACTGAGAATGTTACCATTGATAACCGCATGGTTGTTATTTACTATGATAACGTGCATCTTGTTTTTTAATACTGTATTATTGACAGCAATCAAAAGCATCAGACTGACATTGCCAGAAAATACATTTCAGGGTAGATATTCAAAGATTAAGTTTAAAAATAAAGTATTAACTTTTTTAAAAAATGTGAATTCCGGTAACCCAATTTACCCTGATGTAATAATGGTCACGAACCTAAAACGTTTTATGACACAAAACTAACATCGGCAGCAGTTTTCATCGTAGATCCGATAACTTAAGATTGAAAACTGCGACATGAACTATTTTACGTACAGTATTTTTTCTAAATAAGTAGAAAAATAAAAATTAGTGCCGACCACACTACCTTCTTATGTGACACATCGTTAGCAGAAACGCGTTTTAATAGCTTTAGCAATATGCAATGTTAACTATGTTCGTCTAATAGAAAAATGTTCATTTTATACTATATACATAACCAGATATTTAAATAAATAGGTGTTCCTTTCCCAAACCCATGTCAATTTTAGCACTTATATTACAGGGGAACTCTCCATTAATTATATCAAAAATGACTCTCTTCCTAATAAAATTATGTCAAAAAATGTTTTCCCTCCCCCCACAAAATAACAATATTTTATACGGCTGGCTTTTGTGCTAAAAAATAGAATTGTGGAATTTAAAAGATTTACAAATCTATTTTAATACATTTTTTACTTGTTTAGCAGATTTCAAATTGACTGTAACACTTTGAATTCATGAACAAAATGAGACTTTATATTCTAGCTTCTATCATTTTCCCTTGAGAGCGAGTGAGTGCCATACCTACACAGCTACTAATTTCCCTTTTACTTATTAAATTTATTCTAAAAAAATAACATTGTTGACGTACATTTATCCTTGCACTCCCCCTCTTCATGTCAACAATTGTCAAACTCTTTAAACCCCTCACCTACTATTTTATTGGCATAATTAATGGACGACCTCCAGGTAAATTACATGTGCAACAGTCAAATTATTCCAGCAGAGGTTTGAAAACCCTTCTGATCTGGCAAAATCTTGTTAAAAAAAGTCGGATTATTCCAATATAATTATGCAAGCCGTTCCAATGGGAATTGTTTCAAAACAGTTTAAAATGTATGTTAGCACCGATAAGAACAAGATTTAACGGTGAATATGTCATGATCGTGATCAACAACGACACCTGACAACATTCACTCATCCGGAATAAACCGGAACAAAAGCAAGACAATAGCAAGGATGCATTGAACATTATGTTTTAAAAAGAATTACATTAACCCTTTACATGACTTACCAAAAGGCCAGAAAAGTAAATAATTCAGTTTTGAATTGAAAACTATTTGAAAACGTATCATCTTTATGATAATCTTCTTTTTAAACAAAAAAAAAAGAGAAAACTGACAATGAATTCAGTAATGCAATAAAATACGCCAATCCCATTAAGGTGTCTCAATATTTAAATGTCTCATACTATATCTGGACCCATCCCGAGACAATAATGGAGTCATACTGATCAATTATCCAAACTATAATAGCAACATGATGCGCAACAACTTGATGTTAAATAATTAACACCTACAGTCGATAACGTGTCCATCCCAGTCCATGACAAACCGGTTGTTGGAATCTCCCAATGTTGGTTTAATTAAAGTTAAAAAGGTTATGTCAAGTGAAATTAAAGTGGTATCTTTAATTGTGAGGGCAGTGGGGTTCTCTTGGACAATGAAACTGAGAAATGTTTCAGACGAAACATTGATCTGGTGTTCAATATCCAAAAGTATCGATACAGCTACTATAATTAGTACTAGCATGATGCAATTAATATAACCCATGGGTCTCTCACCAGAGAGCACCATGTAGACAAAATGCGTTATAAAAAAGGGTGTACCAAGATAAGACATGACCTCAACTATCTGCCTTACAGGAGTATGTTGGGACAGGCTACAGACTTGTAAATGCGATCCATCAATACAGTTGCAGTAACAGTTAACTGATGAACCATTACTGACCTTGGTGTGTCAAAGTAAAGCATGCTCTTTTAAAGCCTTTTCGTCAATGGCAATGGCGGGTTCGGGATGAGTAGTCTCATTTGACTACAGTGTTAACTTTACAGATAGATGGCTTAAATTATGCCCTGTGCGATATGTTTGTTCTAAGCACAGAACCTGCTCTCCCTATAAAGTGCATTAGACTTGATCCAAAAACCAAAACCACAACATTAACAATACGTATTAAAATCGCCAACGCTTACAAGACAAAACAGCTGCCACCACATGAAGATCAGAGATGGGTTTGTATTTGCAGATTTACAATATGCGTCTGCTGAGCGATTCAGAACATAACTGAGAAAATAATCTTCATCGTCAATAATAGTATGAGGTCATGGTTTACCTTTAATCCTCTGCACTAAACACTCTGGAGTTTGATTCAGTTCTGTCTATGTCGTGAATTAAGCTCCATATGTTCTAGAACACATATAACACACATTAAGTCTGGGTCTGGAGAAAAATTCCAACGCTAAAGCAAAAACTCGACCCAAATCATTGGATCATTTGGGAATTTAAACTATTGTTGATAAATGTCAATAACATGCTTCACCCAAGCTGACTTTTTTTTCATTCCGTTTCTTTTTAATATTTTCTATTTTCTTTCGAATAGGCTTCTCAAGCAGGTATTTGTTTTAAAAAATGTCCGTATATCTTCCTTTTTTGTATGAATCGAAAGCTCTAGCCTAGTAAAGGTTAATTTTCTTCCCACCATCGTACCACATTTCCCATTTACATGTATGGACACCAAAATTAGTTTACCTTCAGAAATTTTAAAGTCAAAATGTAAAAATGACTGAACATAGAATTCTTTGGGATCATAACTACTGACCGAATGTTAAATTTTTTCTCTCTCGCTCCGGAGTTCTGATGCAACGTGATACAGTTGATAAAAAACATATTTAATACAAGCAAAGTGACCTATATTTGATAGAACACGTCACTTAATAAAAATATCGAAAATCATATTTTTCACACACAACAAAAATACATACATACATACATACATACATACATACATACATACATACATACATACATACATACATACATACATACATACATTCATACATACATACATACATACATACATACATACATACATACATACATACATACATACATACATACATACATACATACATACATACATACATACATATGCACACAGAGACAGAGGAAAAAAATCGCATCTTATATAATTCCTTAATATATGGAGATGAGCTTATGTTGTAATGAGCTGGTGCGAAAAAATATCTGGTACCACTGTTGCTATTTGTGACTGCTTCATTATTCAATAACGCAAAAAGCACTTTACGCACATCAAGTAAATTGAATTATTAACAGCAATAATCAATACCGTGTCGTCACACTGTATAACTAATATTTCAACGACATTGACAGAAAAGGAAATCTAAGCATGTTTGATGAACTAACTACCTTATCTCATGTAAGTTCAATATATCTTATCCTTGAATCTTTGGAATATTCTGCTGGTCAGAAGTATTCTCAAAGTTTACTAAACCTCTCGAAACATACTGACATCTTATTCATAATTATGTTAATTTCTAATATTTTTGGAGAAATAATTTTTCCGTTGCGCCAGAATTTGTGGGTCGACATGACAGCTAACGTACAGAAGTAAAGACAGATTCGCATGGAAGCACATACTAAAAGAAAGATGAACGAAAATTTCAAAGAACAATGAGATAAAGGAATAACTTTAGAAATAAACAAGCTCATAAAAATACCCCATTTCTTACCGTATTTACTCGTGCATAGCATAAGCCCTATTCCTAAGAGCATAGATAGAGATGGCCTCGGATGCATGAAGTCGCGGGTTTGAACCCAGGTCAAATTATACCCAAGACGTAAAAATGGTACCTGCAGTTGCCTCGCTTGGCATTCGGCATTAAGAGGTTAGCGTTAATACTGGTCGACTTGATGTAAGAATAAAATGACTGGGTTAGACATGATGCTACATGTATAAGAAGTGTTAGACATCACTATATACTACCTTCACCAAAAACATCGTGGCGATATGACTGAACAATTGTCTAAGCTGTGACCAAATCACACACACACACACACACACACACAACTTCCTATATGTGTAATATATATATATATATATATATATATATATATATATATATATATATATATATATATATATATATATATATATATATATATATATATAAGGAATTGTAACGTAGCTTTAACAATGTTCAAGTCATATCGCTACGATGTCTGCAGTGTGGTAATTTATAGTGATGTCTAGCACTGGGCCAACATACCGCAGACAATGTAGCATCATGTCCCACCCAGTCATGTTTTCCTTACACCAGGCCAACCAATCCTAACACTATCCCCTTAATGCTGAGTGACAAGCGAGGCAGCTATCAGTACCATTTTTATAAGTATTTGGTATGACTCAGCCGGGGTTCGAACCCGCGGCCTCCCACACCCAAGGCGGACGCTTTAAACACTAGCCCATCAAAGCGATCCCATATAGAGCACACACAGCTTATAACCGTGACATTTATCAGCACAATATGTGACGGCTGATGAGGATTTATGCTGTTTCGAATATACATATCAGTAACCTTTGGTAGGTTGGTATAAACGTTGTTATAAAAAGAAGATGTATATATGAAGGCTTAAACGGAACAGTGCTCAAAATATCTAAGAGGTGTCATATGGCACCAGTTCAAATAAAATTAAAGTAACTATTCTAAGCGGTGTCATATGGCACCAGTTCAAATAAAATTAAAGTAACTATTCTAAGCGGTGTCATATGGCACCAGTTCAAATAAAATTAAAGTAACTATTCTAAGCGGTGTCATATGGCACCAGTTCAAATAAAATTAAAGTAACTATTCTAAGCGGTGTCATATGGCACCAGTTCAAATAAAATTAAAGTAACTATTCTAAGCGGTGTCATATGGCACCAGTTCAAATAAAATTAAAGTAACTATAACAGCTGATGAAATAAAATATCAATAAATCTACATAAGATTTAGGGAATCAAAGCAGAAGACACTTCACTTACGTCACTGATACATCATATTTAATAACAAGTCTTATGCACCAGTGCATGCCTCTCAAATGAAAAAAATGTATAACTGCTGTAGGGAAGGGTTACATTTTAAAACGAGTACCGGTGTATATAGTTTGAATTTGACCTCTGATGTCATTGGCATTTATGTTGCGAGATTTGTGTAGTCATTCGACTTGGAATGAAAATGGCTTGTTCCTGATCAAATTTCCTAAACACCGTAGTTTCGGCTAATCTGTCAGCTGATTAAAGATATAATGAATGATCTACTTGCAAGGTCTGAGAAAATAAACTCGGACTGCGGTGTATATAATCTACAACTGACAATTATAGAGGAGGTGCCATTCTTTTTAGATTATAGATCTTTGATGAGATTATTTACATCAGCCTTTCGTACATTAATTACATCGAAGTTTTATTAATTCTTTATATTGCATAGATCAAAGAGTTACCAATACAAGGTCACTCCGAAGACGTCTCTGAAGAACTTGGGCATTAGCAGGGACACGTGGGATCAGACGGCACAGAACAGGGTCGTGTGGCGCACTTCCATCACTAAAGGCGCTGCAGCCTGCGCGGCCAACAGGTCATCCGTGGCAAAACAACGAAGGCAAGCCAGGAAATCCCGAGCCAGTATCTCCACAATAAGCGTTGTTACCATCCCATGCTCCACAATACCACGGAACGTTCAAAGGGCATATCGGCCTCAACGGCCATATGCGCACCCACAGACCGTTTGTTCCCGATAAAACACTCTTATGGCTAAAGTGGTCCTCATCGACTTGATGGAAGAACTACATATAGCACATCCTCCCATTTGTACCCCCTACCGATTGAAAAATGAAACCTTCTAGGATATATATATATTTTTTTTTTACCTAAAATAGTCATTTCATTGACTGATTTACAATTTTTAGCCTGCATTTAGCCCGGTCACCATACTGGCGTTTCAAAGCAAACTGACGATCTCGAAGTAACCAAGCAGACGGACTGCTTACTGTCCTATTCTGGTTGCTAAAACAGTCCATATTAGTAAAATAAATGTTATGTGCGTCTAATTCCTTAATGTTTAATGTTTCTAAAGAAAACCTTAACTACACGCATCCTGCGATAAGATACACATCGATACACTTATGAACTTTATTGTCTTTCTACATTTGGAAGGTAGGTGGTGCCCTTTCATGTATATTGCATTTTCCAATATGCAGAATATAGATATACATATAGTTATCGTATATTTATGTACAATTTTGACGGATAAAAGATATCAACAATACTTTCAAAAAAAAATACCTGCTGGTTGCAGTGAGTTTTTTTTTCCAACATTTTAGGCGATTTAATGATGCATCCATGAAACTACTTTGTTTTGTACGATATGAATGTTTGAAAACATATTATTACCAATTTCGTGTTTCAGTTACACTTCCAAGATGTTATGATGTTATCTTCAAAACAGAAGGAATAAAGCAATTTTCTCGTGCAAACATTGTCACATCTAAGACAAATGCAGGCATTGGGAATAAGGTTGAATACCAAAATAAAATCTATCCCATTTTTTTTTTTCATACAGATGCAAAAATATTTCTGCAGCCACATGTACTTGTATTTGTTAGTGCAGAAGGAAAACTATTTATCACACCCAGTCCTATTCTACAATTTTCTTTTAACTTGCACAGGGTGATAAACCTGAGCAGTTTGAAATGTCCCATCACTCATTCTATGCCAATTTCATCTATTCCAGCAGCACCTTCATTCACTGGTTAAATATCTCCGCATAAAAAAAGATAAATTCCAAATTTGATTCCAATGTACAATTTAAGGGGAGATGAAGACAGAATTTTATCTTGAGGTAAACATCACCCTTTATCAAAGTAAAAAGGTGAAGAAGAAACCTTCATGTCAGTATTTATCAAAATTCAATATGTCTCTCTTTCTTCCTGCTCCACTTTCTTATAGCTCTACTGAAATCAACATCTTTGATAGATGTCACCTCAAGTTGTATAAGCATCAATCTGTTAATTATTTCGGAGCACACTGTTCCTTTTCTACGTATCAATATTGTTCTTTGCTTTTTTCAGAAGGGGCATATACACAGCTAATTCTGTAAGCTTGAATAGGTTGGGAAACGTTTTTAGGACTGTGTTGCACAATTTTCCAGATATCACAGATATTGTCGTTTGTATACAAATGCTCCAAAATAGGAATTTTCACTAGCATACACTTCCTTTGTTAAATCTATAGTTTACAGACTACTATGCCAGATTTCTTATATATTCCATAATGCTGTATAAGGGTATTTAGTCCATCAATGCTTGTGCAGAGGTATGAAAATAAATATCTTGACTTCTCAATTGCATTTTAAAGCCTTATTTTTTTCAATTTATCTTACCCCTGATATGGATACATGTATATGCTTTTGTAGTACATGATCCGCATGGTAAATTTGATTAATTAAAAATGGAAATTGCATTATACTTAAATATTGTCTGTATTTTAATTATGTTTACTATTCTGCCCTTTGTACATTTAATTTCGAAATATCGCTGAAAGTGTCATGCCATCTATTTTTTTTGTCCATCTATTATGTACAGCCGACTCGTATTTAACACGACTTCATGCTCAAAATCACTCACTGGTGTCTTCATTAACGTTTTCCCAACTTCAATAATCTGATATACTTCATAACTTTAAAATGCATTGTCATCATCACTATCATCATCAATTATCTGCCGAAAGAAATCGTAATAAACCACTCCGGGAATCAGATATTTGGGGTTTCATAAGTAGCCCGTATTTTAAACACGCTTATGTAAATCTTTCTTCATGAACGGTTCAAACAACGCCATGATTTTTATTCATGTGCACGTTGTTCAACTCAAATTTAGTTTCACAATTCATATCGTGCCTAGGAACCCAAACGTGGAACAGCTGCTACCCGACAAATAGATTTCTCGACAAGAACGGTTAAATAAAAATTACAAATTTCGCTGAGCACATTTTCATATGTGGGACTTGGCAACGAATTTGCGAGAGTTTTCGCGTTTCACTGTTCTCCAAACACGCGAATTAGTACCAAAATAAAATGATATACACTGACATCATCTCCACTTAGGTACCTGACACATCTAATGACTTTCCTTCAAGGTCTCTCTGCTGCTCTGCCATTAATTCCTGTCTTTCATGCAAAGAATAAGCTATATTGATTTCTGATTGGTGGTTATTGTTTAACCTGGAGAGGAGCAAAGGACAATTCGATGTAACATATATCAATGTGCAACACACCGGTAGCAAAGCTTTCAAATCGACCAAACAAGTCAAGTTACAATTCAAAATAAAAACTTAGCGTAAAATTGGTTATTACATGACAAGTAAAGTACTACATTAAACATATGGAACATGTTCGGAATATGTAGTATATGCTAAACATACTTCTGGGTTAAGATAATTCGCATGAAATGGGGGGGGGACGGGCAGATTACGAACCATGTTACTTTGTGTTAACTTGTAGACAGCGAGTGTTCTAAAATAATCTTTTTTGTTTTTACTAATAAACACGAGTGTATGTGACTGCAAATGGTGTTTCAGATGGATTATAATTTTACAGAAAACCAAGGCAACTAATAATAATTATTCAATAGTGCTGAAGACTAAAATATCATTCATACTGTATCATTTTGTATCGATATGTGTATAGTTTCAGCAAAAGTATCGATCCATTGATATATCGATGAATCATTTCACCCCTTGTGCCAATACTATAGTTGCGCACACATCTCAATGCAGAACAGCTGATCTAAAATAGACGATTGCCCAAACTGTACTAAAGTCATGAAATTCTAACATAAATTAGCGAACGGAATAAATCTTTGAAACATAGTTTCAAGACAAGACAAACAATATATTTGACACTTAATTAAGCAAAATTAGCATTTCATACATTTTTTTTACGGGTATGATTTGTTTTCTCTGCTTCATGAGACTGTTTAGGTTTCTGTTTATAGAAAATTAAGCCATCGTAAATAACCTCTAGGTTAGAAATTAACTTTTGAACCTGATTTTGCATAGTTAATTGGCTTGTCGTTTAAACACATATTTTCTTGCATAGATTTTTTTCTGTGGTGTAAATTTCAACTAGGCGTAACATGAATGACAATTAGTAACTGACCAATCAAAATACGGGAATTATAATGAAATGTTCCTTCCCTTTTCTTGTGTTTGAGAAGAAATATCGATTTAACCAAGCAACTGAGAAAAAGATGCCATAAATTTGTTCAATGCTTGGCACAAGTTATCAAAGTACAGTATACTCGTTGGGTTTTACCCAGAAAAATGTGAACGCAACACTGAGTAGGGAGAATTACTACCGAAAGGAATCAAAGATGGCACCAGTTCCTGTTTTCTTACATACTGCTACAGTATACGATAAAGAATAAACGCTATTTGAC